GGCGCGCGCACTCCAAGCATCCGGAAGTGGTGGAGTATGAATATTACGTGCCAAAATCCGAGCGGCGTGAAACTCATTAAGATACATCTGTGATATGATCCTAACTACATCCAAGACGAAGAATTGGAAGACAAGGAAGAGGGAAATTCGTTGGACAAGTCGAATTTCATGCATCCCGAAAAGTCCCGTATAATTCTGGCAAAGTACACTATTTGGCTTATTACTTTCTCATCTGAAGTCCAATTAAGGTGATTCGAATTGCTACAGAAATCCAACTTAAAAATCTAAAACTTTGCTGTTTTGATCCGAGAGAGATTCGGAGTGGAAGAGGTCAGAAATCGAGCTTGAAGTGAAGACACGTGCACAGCCAAATGTCTACTCGAGTTATGAAGAATGTTCGTGTCGTCGACTTGATATTTGGAGTTTAGATTTTATTAAATTACGTTTTTTATATTAGGTTTAATATATTTATATTATTTAAGAGTTAGTTATGGCTAGGATTTTCTTATTTATTAGTTTCCTTATTATAGATTAGGTAAGAGTCCTTTTCAAATGATATGATCCTAACTACATCCAAGACGAAGAATTGGAAGACAAGGAAGAGGGAAATTCGTTGGACAAGTCGAATTTCATGCATCCCGAAAAGTCCCGTATAATTCTGGCAGAGTACACTATTTGGCTTATTACTTTCTCATCTGAAGTCCAATTAAGGTGATTCGAATTGCTACAGAAAGCCAACTTAAAAATCTAAAACTTTGCTGTTTTGATCCGAGAGAGATTCGGAGTGGAAGAGGTCAGAAATCGAGCTTGAAGTGAAGACACGTGCACAGCCAAATGTCTACTCGAGTTATGAAGAATGTTCGTGTCGTCGACTTGATATTTGGAGTTTAGATTTTATTAAATTACGTTTTTTATATTAGGTTTAATATATTTATATTATTTAAGAGTTAGTTATGGCTAGGATTTTCTTATTTATTAGTTTCCTTATTATAGATTAGGTAAGAGTCCTTTTCCTTGTGAAAAATGAGTGTTTTTAGATCTTATAAATATGTAGCCAATTTGGCTGATTTTATTGGACGAATTTTGATGATTTAAATGGAGTTTATTCTCTTTGGTTCTTTAAGAACTGTTCGAACATTTCGGTGGATTCCGTTTGTTCACCCCGACTTATCAATCGATCTTCCACAATCGATTGTGGCGTCTTCGCATACCAAGGTTCTTGCCTCTTTATAGGCAATGGGTCGCGGTTCCACCTTTGATTCCTTCTTTGGACGGTCCAGGATTTGATATCCGAAGTATTGATATCGGGTCTCGTCACGATGTTGGCGTGGTTCGTATCATTTGGTACTCAGAGCCATCTTCCTAAGAAGGTTTCGCCTATCCTTTATCTTTATTTTTTAGTCAATCTTTGTTTTCGTGTCTTTGTTTTGTTTTTCGTTTCGTGTCTATTGTTGTTGAGTCTTCTAGTCTTTCGTTTTGTTTATTTTGAGTCCGTAAACAAATAAAAAAAAAATAATAAATCGAAATTTATTTTTTGTTTGAAGTTTCTTTGAGTCTAAGTTAGGTTTTGTCTAGAGTCCAGAAAAAAAATCGAAAAAAAAAAGAATAAAAAAAACGGAAGAACGAGTGAGTTTTGTTATTCGTTAATCTCGTGAACTCTATTAAGTTTCTTTCTTGTGGCGTCAACATTATAACTTTGGTTCGTGGTTCTATATAGCCATTGGGTCAAGTTGGTTGTTCCATACTTTTGGTTTGCGTTTCTATATAAACGTTAGGTCGGAGTGCTATCAAGGAAAATTTAATCTTGTTCATTGGATGGGGGATTTCATTATTAATTGTTCGTAAAAAAAAAAAAAAAAGTTTCAAATACAGTGAAGAACTTTCTGCCTCATGGATTCGCTTTCAATACTACACGCTCATTCAAAGGATTCGAATTCGAGGACGAATTCTTTTGAAGAAAGGGAGTATGATATGATCCTAACTACATCCAACACGAAGAATTGGAAGACAAGGAAGAGGGAAATTCGTTGGACAAGTCGAATTTCATGCATCCCGAAAGTCCCGTATAATTCTGGTAGAGTACACTATTTGGCTGATAACTTTCTCACCTCAAGTCCAATTAAGGTGATTCAAATTGCTACGGAAAGCCAACTTAAAAATCTAAAACTTTGCTGTTTTGATCCGAGGGAGATTCGGAGTGGAAGAGGTCCGAAATCGAGCTTGAAGTGGAGACACGTGCACAGCCAAATGTCTACTCGAGTTATGAAGAATGTTCGTGTCGTCGACTTGATATTTGGAGTTTAGATTTTATTAAATTACGTTTTTATATTAGGTTTAATATATTTATATTATTTAAGAGTTAGTTATGGCTAGGATTTTCTTATTTATTAGTTTCCTTATTATAGATTAGGTAAGAGTCCTTTTCCTTGTGAAAAAGGAGTGTTTTTAGATCTTATAAATTTGTAGCCAATTTGGCTGATTTTATTGGACGAATTTTGATGATTTAATGGAGTTTATACTCTTTGGTTCTTTAAGAACTGTTCGAACATTTCGGTGGATTCCGTTTGTTCACCCCGACTTATCAATCGATCTTCCACAATCGATTGTGGCGTCTTCGCATACCAAGGTTCTTGCCTCTTTATAGGCAATGGGTCGCGGTTCCACCTTTGATTCCTTCTTTGGACGGTCCAGGATTTGATATCCGAAGTATTGATATCGGGTCTCGTCACATGGTTGGCGTGGTTCGTATCAATCTGGCTCCAACTAAGCACATCATCAACTGTGAGCGCGGGTAAGAAGAGGTCTTCAGTTAGACTTTTGCGCAACACGTCAATCCATTGCCAAACCGTGGAATCGGGAGGTCTTCATTTAGAATTTACATTCTTGAATTGCAAACAAAAAACTACATATGACTTCGTCAAATGCAAACAGCAAACTGTAAAAAAAATAAAAAAAATCAGCAGAATTTGTATTTGAATTTCAAGCAATAAACTACCGATGACTTCGCCAAATCTAAACAACAAATTGAAAAAAAAAAAATCAGCATCATTAAAAAACATCAACAAAAAAAAATGTTTATGGAACACGTTGCAAACAGCAAAAACATTAAATAAACTGTTTGTAAAAATGTAACATAAGACATACCTTACAAAATGTAAACCGGAGGAATCGAATCTCAACACCAAACACAATTATTCAAACAACAAACGAAGTTAAACCAACCTGCAAACGAAAATTGCTAACAACAAACGAAGGGAAGGTTCTACATACGGAAGACTCAATGCGAATTTTGACTAGGGCTTTGAATTTGTATTTATTTTTTTGGAGGGGGAGGGGATGTTTGTTGACCTCTTTAATTATTTTACCAAGAATTCAATTCATAATCTAAAAAGATCTTCTTTTTCCCTTCTCTTCTATATTTTTTCATCGAAAAAAATAAAGAAAAATAAATAGAAAAAAAAAACAGAGAAGCACAAGAGAGAGAAAGATGGACGTGAGATACATAGGAAGAGAGAGAGATGGGAGATTAAATATAAGATGGGAGATTAAAATGGTGTTTGGCTAAGCTTATAAGATGTTAAAAGGAGCTTATAGGATGTTTTAGAGCTTATAAGCTCTTCAAAAGTGTTTGGTAGATTTTTAGAAAAAAGATCTTAATTTTTTTTAAAATAAGCTGTTGGAAAGCAAATAAGATCTTTTTAAATAAGTACATTTACCCCACCTTTTTATTTAAGATCTTATAATGAGTAAAAATAGGAAATAAGTTCATTATCCAAACACTCTAAAAATTAATCATAAAAATAAGATGTAACAACTTATCAGCTCTTAAAACATCTTATCAGATGTAAGAGCTTATCAGCTGTTTAAAATAAGCTTAGTCAAACACCCTCTAAATATAAGATGAGAGAAATGTGAGATTGGAGAGAGAGGAAGTGATATATGAGATTTGTTTCTTATTAATTGAGGGTGTTTATGTCTATATACTAATTATTTTATTTTATTTATATTATTTTTTTTGGTCAAAGAACTTAAGCCTATATTAATATAGCAACTAGGATCTCTATCTATATAAGTCCAAAGTCCAAAATAAGGGGTGTCTAGCAAATTTTCCCCCCTTTTTTTTTCTTTTAAGAACTCTTGTTAAAAATAATTGCGGTCTAAAAAAGAAAAAAAATTAAAGAGGGAGAACAAAAGGCGAACAAATAGAAAGAGAGAAAAAGGGAGAGTAGATGGGAAGACAAAAAGAATTAGTGACAAAAACAATTCCCTTAGAAAATCACATGCTCAATATTCCAACCAGATTTGACCAACAAAGGCAAGTCTGGAATGTTGTCAAAAGATTAGATGAGTTAGGGGCAATGTACAAATCAAATAGTAGTATGGTGGCAAACTTCTATAATATATATACTCAAAATAAATATTACTTGAAATACTTGTGATTTTGACTCAATTCCTTGAAATCAAGACCAGTTGACTTGACGTAACAAATACCGATTTTTCATCAGGACCCACAGACTTGTGAACTATGCACATATGTAATTTTGAGTACTAGCAAAACCATTTACAAGGTCATCATCGTCCTCTTGAAACTCTAAATTAAGTAGTCCACTATAGTCTGTAAGGTAATGTTATTAGGTCAATCTTTTTGTTTAATAAAAAAAAAACACTATCTTTTTGTAAGGCCAATTAAAAAAAAGTTTCATCCCTTTGAAACTCTAAAAAAAGCAAAAAAAGTTTCATCCCTTTGAAACTCTAAAAAAAGCTACTATACGTGTCCAGCAAGGGATGGCCTAGCCTACCAATTAGAGCAAGTGAGCATGTGTCAATTGACACATATATTCGAATCCTCTTGCCAACATTTGCTAGGTCGAGCTAGTCACACATGATTAGCCTAGTGTGGTTTATGTCTCTCGTATGATTTACATGCTATTATACGAGAGTGTAAGTTTATCCCGTGTACATTTATGGTTGGTTGGGGTTCCTTCATTTCCAAAAAAAAGAAAAAAAAACTAATATACATTGTTTTATAGACGACACTCAGCTCATAAATTGATCAAAACATCATAATTTCTGAAGAAGTTACAAATAAGAGGTTTGCTGAAGTTAAATTTCTATGGTAAACTATAAAACTGTTTCAGAATCTTCAAACCTCATCACATAATTTGGCACAAATAAATTACAATAGTTTTTCTAGTGATATTTGGCATGGTATTATGACCCATGCAGTCGGGTGATGTTTGAAAACTCTACACAGGATGCCGTTACAATCAAAGCAAGCTGGCATCTGCTGACTTTTATCATGTGCCAACTTCACAAGATGAGTACTTTTCATATCTTACAACTTAGACTTTGTCTCATTTGTTTCCTTCTCCTGCAAAAATTAACATCATTTTTCTTGTCAAATAGTTGTTTGTCATATATATATATATATGTAAGAACAACATCAGTTAGCAAGTGTCCATCAGAGTGTTTGAAAGGGTCAAAATTGATGTCATCCAAAATTGAAGTGTTTAAGTTGGTGTTTGAGTACATTAGCTTAGATTAACTTCGTGGCAAGTATACTCTCCATAAATCAAAAGTTGCAACTGCTGAAACTCGAAATCTAATTAGTTGTTTAAATAACTTACTAGAGATATCCCCTCTGCCGATTTCTGCAGTATATAGTCACAGGGCTTGAAAAAATCTCCATATTCCTCTGACCATTTCTCCAATCTTGAATGCACATACTTAGAGCCAAATGAATTAGACCAGTATATGATTCCTCCCCTGATTCAGGACACAAAATAAATAAATAAATAAATAAAGAGGGTTCCGTAAAATTGCAAATTAACCTGTATGTTGGGAATCCGATTCCTAAAACAGAGGCAACATCTAGATCGGATGATCTAATTACAATGCCTTCAAAAATTATGCGGCACGCTTCATTTAACGCAGGGAATAGGATCATCTCAACTATCTCGGTATCGGACAATTTTGTCGGCTGCGCCATTCAGGAAACAACAGATAGGTCAAATGTGTTGACTGTTGAGTTATTACAGCTAAAACCATACAGAAATTTGAGAAAATGATTTATGTCAGTAGAATATTAATCAATCAGAAATTTACTTTATTTAATGAATCGTCCTTGCAAAGGAGAATTTCGGTCTTCTTGGGGCTTAGTAATTGATGGCCAGCAAACGGGTTTTGTAAGCAAATAAAAAAGATAACTATATAAAAATTATAATTTTACATCCAGAGAATTATAAATGATGTAGTGGTCAAGTCATTTACATTTGCCATGTACTTATTGGGTCTGACCAATCATAACTAGGAAAGAATGTCCTTCCTAGGCTGAGTTTTAATCAATATTTTTTTATAGTGCATGTCTGACTTTCAGCAGAACAGATATTACAAATAAACAAAAACCATCTAGAGAAACTTCCTGGCTAGCATGTCTTAGAAAACTTAAACACAAGCAAATGAACAGTGGGCCCATATGAATATACGAAAATAAAAGACAGCTTGTACGAGATAGAGATACAACCAACCTTGGCGGCGTCAACGGTCACATTCGATAGGTTCCCAGCTTTTTTTATGTACTTATTATTTAACTCGGGATCTGGATAAGCCTTGCCACAGTTGTCATATTTGTAGAAACCTTTTCCATTACACCGACCTGGTACAAATACCACAAGTTATAACACACATAATCAATACAAGCCCAAAATTGCCCTACAGAATTCACTAAAAACAAAAACATTACCTTTAAAAGAAAGGTGGAAAACTTACCTTGACGTTCATGGTGTTGTAAGACTGAGAGTAGTATAGATTTGTAGGATCTATCTGGGATTCTTTCGACAAACATCTTACTTATCGCTACAAAAGCTTGAAATCCAATCATATCTATGATTCTGCAGTAATTTAATCAGTAACACGAACCAAAAAAAAATGTACATATAATTGGTTTCAAGAGTGTATGATATTGCGTACCTAAAAGGACCAAATTGCATCCCAAAGCTTTCAAGAGCCTGGTCGATCTTGTACACCTCCACACCTCGTTCACTGAGTAGTATTGCAGCAAGCAAATACGTAACGAACATATCGTTGACTGTGCAGCCTTTGCGGTCAATGACGACAATTGGGGTTTTCCTCAATTTTCTCCCAAAGTCGATCAGATCAACGGTTACTTGAGGCGATGTGCCCTCTGTACGAACTATTTCCATAAAAGGCATGCCAGCTGGCAAAAGGCTGTAACCAGATGGTGAGGAAGAATTCAAAACAATCTCATGATGAAGTCACAACAATTCTTTAACGACATATATTATACCAGAAATGGACACGAGCAATCCGATTTTGGCATTTGGTCCTTTCTCCAACCGATCTCAAACTGAATGTTGAGCTATTACTTGTGAAAATGCAATGCTGCGGGCACCACTTCTCAAGCTCCGCAAAAATCTCTTGCTTCAGTGACAAACTTTCGGTTTCAGTCTGCCCCAAGTTCATAGAGACTGGGTTATTAAAATAAAAATAAGAGAACAAAAGATAACTAAATGTGTGTTCCCATTTGTGTGATACCTCTATAACTAAATCAACTTCTTTAAAGTTGTCATAATCAAGAACACCACTTAATAGGCTGAAAGCTTTTTCAAGGTCATTTTGAGTTGCCTTTCCATGCTTGACTTGATTTTGCAAATTCTCTGTTATAAAAAGATAATTGCTTCAAAAATATCATTTTTAAATTCCTCGTAAAAACCTTCAGTTATACAGAAGACGCTCACCTTTGGCTCTGCTGATCTCTTCTGACAGATTCTTTTCGTTCTTCTCTTTGAGAATGACTTGATAATTCCTTAAAATCAACATTGTTGCTATTTCAGAGCTCATTAATCCCCCACCAATAATAGCAACCTTGCTTATTTTTCTTGGCTGCAAATTCATCAAAGATATCCCAGGAATCTGATACCGATATCCACCAATACACGATATAAGAAACAAATGATATAGTTAGACGACAAGATCCTTTAAATTTAATACATTTATGTTTCAATATCCTTTAGAATAGAGGCAGTCGTGATATTGCAAACAATTCATTTTCTTACATTAATGCAAAATATGTCTAGTAAGTGATAATTTAGAGTTTAAACGTGAAGATCCCTACACTTTATATAACTTAAATTTTCTAAGTCATCATTATATTTCTTATTCAAGTTTTGATCAGAGAAATGTATCAGATATATTCAGAACCTTAAAAATTTGACGTTGAGAGAAAAATGTGTGGACTAGACTCCTGCATGTACTAGATTGCCGAAGTTCTTGAAGAGCTTCAGCTTCCTGAGAGGAGAAAGCAAATTATCATAAACACAATAAAACACCACCAGAAAAAGTGAAATATATATGTTACCTTCCATAGAGCATTACGAGGGTCCGAAACAATACCCTGTTCAATGACATCGATGCATACTAACGGATGCATTACATTCGGATTTTGTCTCTGGGCTTGGATTCGGGCAGAGTTAAGTATTGCTTTAGCTTCTCCCATGGGTTCTAATTTGTCAGTTTTATAAAGACTGAGGACCCATGGTCTTCTACACTCGAATATGTCTAAAGACCATTGACGAGCTACCTTAAGAAGCTTATCAGCTGGAGATATGGCATCCACGAGGGACAAGCGTAGAGCCTCCTTCCCATTTACTCGCTTCGACATCTGATGAATGAAGAGAACGTATTTATTATTGATTATGCGAGGAAAGAACTGAGAACTCAAAATTGAAAACAACATCTGCATACCAGAATCATTTCAAGAGCCTTTTGGAGGCCCACAAGCCGTGGAAGCCTTTGCGTACCTGGACCAAATCACATATTCAGAACCAAATCACAAGTATATCATCATCTGTCAACATATCTACTAAAAAAACATTAAAATACTTTTCAATGAAAACTATATTATGATGTCATGTTACATGTGATGCAACTAATTAGGCCCTCCATTTTTCTTCCTTGACCTATCAACATGAATCACAGCAAATTACATCTTCTATCTCCTTGGATCAAACCTTGGCCATGTTGACAGGTCTTGCAAGCAACTTTCTATCGTGATAAACCGAAGTGTTTATATGTCAATCATTCTGGATTTACCATGGTGGCTGAGCCAAGTGATTAGAGGAACCATTGTATCCATCTATTAACAAGGCCAAACATTTACACTAATAAATAGGAGCTACTATAAGTTCCCCTCACATCAAAACACAAGAGCCATTCTGAAGACATACAAGGAAACATATATTGTGCAAGTATTATCATGCATAAAACAGAGTCGATCTAGAAAGACAAATGTACTTTAATTAACAATTGACTACATCTTTATTCTTCTACGTCATGAACACGTAACCATCAGGCAAAATAGAACTCAATTAAATGTTTTATGAAATTCAAAGATTTTACAAGGATCCGATTTTTTTATCCCAAATGATGCATAACACAAGGTACTAACTCAAAGCTTTAAAAGCCTGCAGTACCTCCAAGTCCAGGAAGAATCCCATACTGAAGTTCAGTAAGTCCTAGTTGTGCAGACGAAGTTGATATGCGAGCATGACATGCCTGCAAAAGATACAAAAATATTAGTGCTAAATAAGTGTAATCTGTTAGGATCATACCTAAGCCTCGCAAACCCCTTCAATGTTTTATTTTATAATTTGACTCATGTATGGTTTTAACTTTTAAGTTGAGTTTAAACAGGTTCATCAGTCAGTATAAGCAGAATATTTAAATAAAAAAATCTCCTTCCTACTTGGTGTCCTCTATGATAAGACTCAGATTGTGGTTTTGATGTAATAGTTGGGTTTAACCATAATACTAAGCAGTGTAACTTTGTAATTAGAGCATCCGTAAGAAGTTTAACCATAATACTGAAAACTAAAAGAAACCCCCAAGAAAGATAGACAGCTATTGGAACACGTTTTCAAACATACAAGAGCAATTTCGAGTCCGCCACCAAAAGCTGGGCCATCAATAGCAGCTACCAAAGGCTTTTTTGCGGCTGCAATGCAAAAGTCAATGGTAAAAAGGGAAAACTATAGACTGAAAAAAGAAGAAAAAGTGGTAAAAAAGAAAACCTTCGAGAGTATCAGTGACGAATTGGATTGACATAAACCCAAGCTCCTTCTTGGCTGTGACAGACTTATACCGCTTAGAACATCATAAACTGCATTGAAGAGGAAACAACATACATAAAGCGGGTCTTACTCTTTTTCCCTTGAATACCACCAAAAACTGTCACATCAAATCCTCCAGAGAATTTTCCATTTAAACCTGTCTCGTTAACAATAAAATCATGTTTCTTTCAACAAAGCATACTAGAGAGAATTGGATGCCTTACCAGTAATTACAATAGCTTTCACATCATCTCTTGATAAGACTCCTTCAATATTTTCTTTTAAGCTGAGTATCACTAGGAAAGTTACAAAGCATGAGAGAGAGAGAAAGAAAGAAGTTGCTAAAAGAAAAAAACATAATTTATAATCTCGCTCGATCAATTCAATTTCATAACGGCACGCACAATCAATTCAATTTCAACATATGCTGAAGCTCGCTCGATCACATAATTTATAATCTCGCTCGATCACATAATTTATAATCTTCAAGTATTCGACTCATTCGTGAACAGAAAAGTGAAAATAGAATCAAGTTAAAAGATGTTAATTGTAACCACGGCCACACCATCGGCTCCGATCTCCACCGCCGTTTTCCTAGGCATCTCGCCACCTCGCGGTTGTGGAGAAGTAGCCAAGTAGGAATGATGATTTGAAATTTGAAGAATGATAAGTTCATTTTTTGAGTTGAGAGTAGAAAGTATAAAATTTACAGTCACTGATTCCGGTTCAAAAGACTCTACTCCAAAAAAATGCTAGATCCCCCCTTTGTCATTTTATTATTTTTAAGAGCATCTTACCTAGACCTGGCCACGTTCCCTTTGATTCGGGTTTCCATTGCGATTTTTGAGGGATCGGAACCGAATCCAAAAAATCCGGTTCCTTGCGGTTCTCGGTTCAGTTCCGGTTCGGTTCTCGGTAAGAACCGTAGAACCATCCGGTTCTTAATAATTTTATATATATATATATATATATATATATATAACTTAAAAAATACTTTAAAAAACTTAAAAAAAAACCTTTTTAAAATAGTTCCTATTTTTATAGTGGAAAGTATACTTAAAAAACTTAATTTTTTTTTAAATACATCAAATATTTTTTGTTTAATTTGACCGTTGGAAATATTTTTCTTAATACTTATATATATATATATATATATATATATATAAACGAATAGAGAGGGATATAAACGCATAAGACAGATTCCCAACTGACCGCAACGACATCAAACAACATAGAGATAAAATAAGATCCAAGATAAGATGAAAATAGTAGAGAAAATGCAGAAAAAGTAAAAAAAAAAAAAAAAAAAAAAAAAAAAAGAACATTACCGAACATATTTCTTGGTAGCTTCTCGAAACCCCTAAATTAAATTATTATATAGTAAAAAATTAGCAACCAAAAATACAAATAACACATACATAAATATTCAAAAAATCAAATTTGCTTCAAGCAATAACAACAAAATGAAACCGATATAGAGTGTTTTTTAGGGTAGAAACGTAATAAATAATGGGCAAATTCAAAAGAGAAGAAGAAAAATATATCAAACAACAAAATATATTGTCTGGATTGATAAAATATATAACATGAAAACGAATTTTTGGGTTACAAATAGACAAATGAAGCAGCTTGAACAATTTCCTATATTGCGAATATAAATAACGTCCACAAAATGATTTCTTATACAATTTCGTATGTTTAGCAACATACAATCAATTTCATCAATCCAAGTACTGAAACATGTTACTGAATAGTACACAAAGATAATAAGCATGTTAAAAATAAATGATCAAATATATAAATAATCAATTGTTGGCAGGGCGGACCCAGAGTGATTTGTTTGGGCGAGATGAGAGTTCGAAAAAAAATAAACTATGGATTTTTGGGGTTTCGGCGGCAAAGCCCCGGATTTATGTTTTTTGGGTATTTCGAGTAAGCAACAATAACTATTTTTTTTCTTTTAATAATATTATCATTATTTAAACTTCCTAAACTTAAAAATCATGTAATACAAGAGGGTAATTTATTTTTAGGGGCTAATATACTATTACTATAATCTTAAAATACATAAATAAAAATCAATAAAAAAATAGATAAAAAAAAATTTGCCAGGGCAGTTTCCCCCTAGCCTTTGGATAGGCACGTCCATGGTTGTTGGCATCATTTGAAACACCGTATATTCATTGCAATAAGAAAAAATCAAGATGACCAAAATTCATGTCTCCTAATATGACACCCGTCAAATTCAATAGGGAGAGAAAAATCAGAACTGGGATATACAAATGGTTGATTCAACAGATTGTTGGTCCAAGTGCAAAGTTTTGGCGGTGCAGAGAACAATCCGTAACAGAAGTTACGTCGGTGTGAAGATATAGATTTGAAGATATGCGTTATTTGCTCAACCTTATTTTTTGAATTGTTGAATTTTTGAAGATTTATGCTGATTCTTTTAACTTGTGCGGCTAATTTAAATGACTGAAATTTAATTAGCCTAATTAAATTTAACAACCACTGAATTACAAGAGAGATCAGTAACTCCCATAAAATCGCAAACTTTATATATCCCATATTTTGAGCAAACAAAAAAACAATTTAAAAAAAATATATACCCAGAAAATTAACAATAGGAGTCAATAAAATTGCTAATTTTTAATATTTTTCCTAATTTTGAGCAAACAAAAATTCGCAAAATTTAATTTAATAAATAAAATATACCCAGGGTATTAAGAATATGAGTGAATAATTCATTGCAGAGATTCGGAACAAAAGAATAGGAGGCAATGATTAAATATTGTTAAAATAAATATATTAATAAAATTAATTAAATAAATGACGATTATAGCAATCAAATGAGCGAGGGAAAAATCCTAGGGTTTACGAAGCAACCTTACTTTTACTAATAAGGGCTATTTGACAAACATCCTCCATAGGGATTTGACTTCTTGATAAATCCATTTTTAATTATTGATATATACAGTAAATCCATTCAACCCAAACTACCTTATTTGCCCCCACTAACTAGTGCAATAATTTAAAAACAAAAATACGGGAGATACGTGCAAATCCCCCCCAAATCATACCACCGAGAAATCTTCCTCATAATTCTTCCCTCAAATCACGGTTAAAATCCACTCTGACATCATTGTTTGCCTTTCGTTTTCAGCACGCCTATGCAACAATGGATATTGTTTCTGGTGAAGAAAAGAAGTAGAATCGAAAACCGCAAGTTTTTGTTTGTTTAGGAAGCCACCGTTTCATCCTTTTTCTTTTGATCTCTAAAAACTGCAACAATGGCTTCACGTTTACTGTAAGAAAATTTGCTATTATTTTCGGACAAAAACTTCTTCTCTTTAGGGCAAACAACATACATATATTGGTTCAACGTCACACAAGCTTTTTCGGTAAAAAATGACGTATATTACAGTGGGAATGGCAAAATTCACTTTGCACAATAGTGGATTTAATAAAATGGTAAGGTCAAATCCATGGATTTAATAAGGGAAGGGCAAAAACCACTATGCGCGCGAAAACCACTCTACGTGCAAAAACCACTCTTACATATGTTTTAGCGTAAAAAAACGTGTGCAGTGCACCAGACACATATAAATCTTATATACATCAACAAAACGTGTACAAACACATAAAAATTACTGCCTAACGTAAATCAATACAAAACCTCACATATAACTCACCTCAAATTCTCATGTGAGCCAAAAATCACCTGTGAATCTGCACCGCCGCCGCTTACCCAATGACACAAACAAAGTATTATTTCTGTGAGTTACAATTCCGATTCCACATAAACGGAAATGTGCAATCAATAAGCGTTAATGGCATAATAGTGCTATTTAAAATATTTATATAGAAGATATTATGTATCTTTCTAATAACTGATATTAAAAATACGTGTATTAATTAGTTATGGGCATAATAGTGATAATTAAGGGTTTTTAATAAATAAAAGTTGTTTTGGATTTATCTTAAAAAAATAAAATAAAATGGGGCCTAATGTAATGATCCTTGTGTAATGGGGGGGGGGGGGGGGGGGGAATGTAAAAATTCCAATAATTGCAATCATAATCTATATGCTATTAAAAAAGAGAGAAAAGTTAATGCTGGAACGGAAACAAATAAGAAGAAAAAAAGAAAAAGAAAATAATAAAAAAGAAAAAACAACGTGAAAAAAAAATTCAAAGTTGATCGTGTTTAGTGGGGAAGGGGAAAAAAAGAAAAAAAAGAAAAATAATATAATTAAAAAAACTTGTCCTATAAAAAATGAGAGAAAATTTAGTGCTTGAAGAGGAAAAATAAGAAGAAAAAAAGAAAAACAAAATATTTTAAAATAGAAAATGTGAAAAAAAAGATCGTGTTTAGTGGGGGAGGGAAAAAAAGAATAAGAAAAAAAGAAAAAGAAAACAATTAAAAAATTCGAAACGTGTTTTAAAAAAAAAAGAAAAAACAAATAATTTTGAATGTTCTACAAAAAGGGAGAAAATAAAGGAAACAGATATTTCACAAAAATATTAAAAAGAAAAAAGAAACTGCTTTTAGGGTTTTGGGGGCAAACCTTTCTTTTATATATAAAGATAAGATGAGAGGTTTTATGGTGGTCAAGTTTTTGTACTATAAAATGGGGGACACACTTGTTTTCTACAGTATAAGAGAGTTTGCTAATATTTTCTCAACTCTTCATAATTTTCCTCCATATTCTATACACATACTTTGAGCTCTTGTTGTGTGTCAGGTGTAAGCTTCTGCTTCACTTGAACGTGCAGTTTCGGTGAAGTTACAGCACATAAATATGTTGGGCTGTTGTATCCCATATGCGACATGATCAGAATCTTTTTGCACCTCATTAGAGAAGGGATCGTGAAATTCGTCTTAAGAGCGACCTAGTTCGCGCCTCACCTTGCCTATCTTCATATTATTGTGAATTTATTGCAACTAATTATAAAGTATAAATCAAGAAAGAAAACAGAGTCTGAGCCTTAATCCGCTAAGTTGATGATCAATCGTCAAAGTGAAGCCGTAGTTCCAACAATTTAAGACGAATTTTGACCCCATAAAGATGAGCTTTGACGATGATCCAAAAAAGTAGCCCTTGATGATGAAAAGGGAGATAATTGATTTTATTTTATTATCTTGTGTTGACTAAACAAGATTAAGTTATGTTTGTTAGAGTAGATGACCGAAGAGCCAACTAATTGTTGTGTTTTTTCACACTACTCGTAGATAATCTATTTCGTATTAATGATAAGAACACACTTTGGCATTCTATATCTTTGTCCCTTGCATAAGCATAGATCTAGTCCTTATAGTTACTTAAT